CAAGTTTTGGGGCGGCCTTTTGGGAACTAGGAATCATAGTAATATAGTAGTATAAGAAAGGGGTTTTAGTGCCTCCGATAGCCTCCAAGCCGACCCATTCGTGCCGAAGCATGACCGGAGTGATACCACGGCCTTTCAGAAAACTGACGTGAAACAACGCTTGCGTTGTGTTTCGTCGTGTAAATACGTTGTAGTACACTGTCTAAAATTAGTCACATCATGTTGACTTTACAGCATAAAACAACGTTCATATATCTCTGTTAAAAATATTACCCGGTACATTACATTTTTGAGCGGAACACGTCAGAGACTGAATGTAAATGCAGCTTTGAAGTACTTGCATCAACTTGTTGCGTTCTAAAGTCATCTTCACGTATACCATGCTTTACAATCTTGAGAGGTATTCGCAACAAGGGATTTTTGGATAAACGATTTTATTAAGTAAAAACGCGGGTTACTCACGTGAATATACTGAGAAAAGCTCTACTAGTTTCGAACCACAGAGGGGTTCTTCCTCATGAGCAGCGTGCGCGGTCGCGGCGACGTCGACGCGACGACGGAGTTGGAAGCAAACGCTCGTAGTGTCCGACAGAGGGCGCGTTGGGCTCGCAGCGCAGGTGGCAACACCGAGGCGAGCGCCAACGCCAGCCAGTGAGCTGCGCGACGTCGCCGCGACCGCGCACGCTGCTCATGAGGAAGAACCCCTCTGTGGTTCGAAACTAGTAGAGCTTTTCTCAGTATATTCACGTGAGTAACCCGCGTTTTTACTTAATTTAGTATGTCTCACGATAGTTATTATAAAAACAAACGATTTTATGTTTAAAACAAAGAAAAATATACCACGTTGTGTATTGTATTGTTGGAAGCGAATAGGATTTTATGCTTTCTATGGATTTTAAGGACATTGGGCAAAAGAAATGATTGAAGAACCAAAACGTCAGTGGGTTATTTATGTGTGCGTGTGTAGTTACCACGTAACCAGACTTGACAGATGTCCTTCGTGTCGACGTGTGTGTGTTCTGCGTGTGAGTAAGTGACCAGGTACCACAGTCATTGTATCAGAAGACAGTATCCAAGGAGGATACTGTTTTTAAACGGCTTTAACCCTCTGCAACTCACGTGGTTAAATTGTTACAATTCAACTGAGGTGTATATTATACCAGACACCATTTCAACAGCAAATATTTTTGTAGAATTAAAGTATAGCGAGCACTATACAGTAAGGTACTCGCAGCAGTGATGCTCGTATTTGAAAAATGACGGTATAACACGTGATTTTGTATTTCGCGGTGTCTGTGGGACTACACGTCAGCTGCAGACGGTTAAATTTTTGTTTATTATTGAAGTTCTTATTTTGAAAATCTGTGTTGGCAACGCATCATTCTTATAGAGAAACTAGCTACGTTTTTATAATAACTATCGTGAGACAAACTAAATTAACTAAAAACTGCGGGTTACTCACGTGAATATACTGAGACAAGCTCTATTAGTTTCGAACCACAGTGGGGTTCTTCCTCATGATCACTTACATGAGCTGCTCACCTACATAAGTAGCGCGACGTCGCCGCGTCTATGGTTCAAAACTAGTAGAGCTTTTCTCAGTATATTCACGTGAGTAACACGCAGTTTTTAGTTAATTGAGAAACTATATGTTGCCCGCGACTTTGTCCGCGTAAAATATCAATTTTGGAACATAACATTTTTTGTTTCGATTTTCCAAAAAGAAAAGTAGCCTTTGTTACTCCTTAATACATCAACTACCTGCCTATAAAAGTCTTGTAAAATCGGTCCAACCATTCCAGAGACTAGCCAGTACAAATAGATAGATAGACAAAAATAAAAAATATTTACTGATGACCAATATCAACGTTCTTTCACAGTAACGCAACCTAAGTATGTTCTCAACCCTTCGTCTACCAACTCTTTTGGGTATATGTAATTATTCATGCAGTGCGTATTACGTTTGTTAAACACTCATCAACCCTCGTTGTGGGTCTCAAAGGCCCCGGACAGTTGTGGTTTCACATCTTTGTACCCTGTTTTTGTAGTAAAGAGAGGGTTGAAATAATTAGGCTATACTTTAAAAATATAAACGGTATTTATGGTTAGTATTTGACCTAAGAGCTGGTTTAGTTGTGTTAGTAGAAGAATTTCTAATAATATTTTCATCTCTATAAATATCTTGCTCGCATGTTAAATGTTGACTGGGATATAAAGTCCGTGAAGAACACTCCGACTGTCGGGGATGGCGAGGCGATATCCGGCCACCGTAAGTCCGGACCAGCGGACGGCGAACATGGGTACTCGCCGCCCGACCAGAACCAGACTCGAGCGTACGGCCCATCGCATTCTGCGCGCGCCTCATTGAGCTAGCAGATCACCACGGATGGAGCCCAATAGGGATGATGGCGATACAGAGCCGCGGAGAACGTAAAAGATTACCGGGACTTCGGCTCGAAATGCAGGAGTAAAAATGGGGGTTTTTAGTTAGTTGGAGTCTAGTACTCCTTAAAAAAGAGGAAGGAAGGAAAGGATCAGTAAGCTGAAGTGGCAGTGACATTTGTCGAAGAACCGATAACCGTTTGGATAAACGTGTTCTAGAGTGGAGACCACGTCTAGGCAAACGCAGTGTAGGGTGCCCTCCAGCTAGGTGGAGTGACGACAACCGCAAGGTGGCTGGTAGTGGTTGGATGCGTTGAGCTGAAGACCGAGCTCAATGACGTGCCATTGGAGAGGCCTATGTCTAGCATTGGACGAATACAGGCTGATGATGACTCCCTAAAAAAAGCCATTTAAGTCGACCTGTAGACTTCTTGTATTAAATATTATTAAAAAAAATATGAGAATGAAAATTAAGATAGATTTCTTACCCTGATAATAAAACAATGGTGGACTAACCACCATTGTTTTATTATGCCTTCATTTATCCTGGATGCTGACGTAGAGACTACATAAATACTTTCACTCTCTATTCATCTACTTTTGTTCCAATTGTCCTTTGACTTGATGCAAGTAATATTTATTATTATTATGTTATTGTCGAATAATACTTCTCTAGCGAAGTCTCCTATCAAACAGTCTTTATCACACTACGTTCATCTCTTATTGTCTCATTACTTATCACTCTAGGTCATCAAAAGTTTTTATAGTGTCCGATCTTACAGTTCTCTGCACCGAACAAGTAAACACTTGGCACTTGAGAATTTCACTAATTAGTCTAGTAGTAAATTGTAATTTATATAGGTAAAATACCTACATCTATTCTTCCTTAACACATCTATTTAGTCCCTTTTTTTTGAAGGGGTAAAATCATCCAATGACTTCTCCCGCCTTGGATTAGGCGAGAGGGAGTGTCAGTCTCAGGTCTTATTAATAAAAATCTCCTATTCCAAACTTAATCACAGGTTAGTCTTGGACTAGCTAATCCCGGACGAACAAAGTACATATTATTGTCACTGAAAAATTCCAAAAATTGCAAACTAATTCTTAGTATCTTAGTACAAAAACCAACCCAAAGTCTCTAAAAACAAATGCTAAAATCTAATAACATGTAATACTTCATTCTGTTTTATCTACAGGTTGTTTTAATAACGTAAATTCTCCCATTACACTAATGAAACCTTTTACATCAACGTACAAAGAAATCCCTCAGTTTCGCCTTGTTTATATTCAACAAGAGATACGTTTTTAATTTTTCATACACGTATAACCAAAACAATGCCATTTTTAATATTTCATTTCACCCCTTCACGCATGCGTTAGATGAGAACTTGACGCATGCGCGCAACAATTCAATATGGCTGCCTCCCCGGATTTGAGGTTGCGAACTAGAATATTTTGCTGAGAAAAACAAGAATTTTATTAAATTTTCTTAATTTGAATGCAATTTGAAATAATGAAACCATAGACTATTTATTCAAAGTGTTTATTAAGGCAAATAATTGACTGTGAAGTGTGTAAATTACGTTTTATTGTGAAAAGTACAATGTTGACAGATGAGTGAAAATTATTGAAGATGAAAAGGGATTTTCATATAAAACTCTTTGTTGATCTTTCTGTATAGCAAAACTATGTAGCCTAGTGAATTTATAAAACAAAAATTGACACTAAAAGATGAATATGTGAGTTTTATGCGTGAAAAACGAGAACACCATTTATATTGAAGTGTAAGGTAAGTTCGTACATTATTTTACTTTTGGATTCACCTAGAAATCTTTGCTAATAATGTTAACAAATTTAAGAACGTTATTTCTAAGAAATAACTTATAAATAAGGGTTCTATTTATAAGCCAGCGCACGTATGTGTGTGTGCGAGTATTTTGTTATAAATGTATCTGCACGATGTATCATTGTTTTTTTTTTTATTTACCAGTCATTTAATGTATGTAGACAATAATATATCTTTAGGAAGGTACTAATACTACAAAGAAGAAAGATTTTATCATTTCGTTCGTCATCGTCATCAACACGGAGAAGGATTGAGCATTAATCACCACGCTTGCTCAATGCGGGTTGGTGAATACAAACTAATAATTAGAAATTATAAGCCCAGGTTATCCTCACGACGTTTACCTTCACCGTTTGTCAGTGGTGTCTAAATAATCTTGGAAAGTACATATAACTCAGAAAAAGTCACATTCACACGCAGTACGACCGGTCAACCAATGAGGCAGTCGGTTTATTTTTTTTATGGGATAATTAATAATAATAATAAATAATAAAATAAAATGTATTAAAAACAACATAGAACACATTTACAATTACAGTTCGCTCAGAATTTATAGTAATAAAAAGTCTTAATAAACACTCGTAATAGTTTACTTAATCTAGTCTTATACAATATACATGCGAGGAAATAACGTTCTAAGTATAATTATAGGGATTACCCGAACTAGGTTTATTTAAACCTGTGTTTCGGGATATCAATGCCAAAAATATTATTTGATGGATATAATTATAAATGGGGATAAGCCCGGTAAACAAGCACGTATCACCTGATGGTAACAGACATCCGAAACACCAGAGGCGTTACAAGTGCGTTATCGGCGATTGTGGGAGATTCGGGGATTAAGAAGTGCGTTATCGGCGATTGTGGGGGATTCGGGGATTAAGGAGACTGGGGATGGGGGGGGGGGGTAAGTGATTGGGCCTCCGGTAACCTCGCTCACATGAGTAAACACAATGCAAGCGTTGTTTCACGTCGGTTTTCTGTGGGGCCGTGGTATCTCTCCGGTCGAGCCGGCCCATTGATGCCAAAGTATGGTCTCCCACACTTTTTAGTAAGTTTGATTTAACAGAGATACGATTACATTTAGTGAACTACAGGTTGCTGTAGTAACTACTTGACTCCAATGTCTTAACTTCGACTTCGATTGCGAAAACATTGCAAATATCTAATTCTTCAAATTCTTTTTTTTAATCCCCATTTTGCCCCACACTAGAATTTTCTCCTGTGTCGTGAGTGCGTTTACAAACATACAAGTTCGCATATACAATGAAAACCACACTTTTTTCAGCCAATCAATTTGTGTATCACACAAAGAGTTGCTCCGTGCGGAAATCGAACCCGCTACACGTTACGCGGCAGCTGGTTTTCCAGCCACCCCGCTACCCGGGCGGTCGTACGTCTTTATGTAGCACAATAATTATTATGTTTGCCTTCGACTAGACTTGTCGTCACGAATTTAGGTACTTATTTATCTTAGTCTAACTCCGGTCCTCATGCTTAGCCTCATCAAATGGAACTGTTAATCCTACAATGAAACGCAGTGGTTACATTTGCTTATTATTAATCACTACATAGTATAAAACAAAGTCGCTATCCGCCGTCTGTCTGCCCCTATGTATGCTTAGATCTTTAAATCTATACAATGGATTTTGATGTAGTTTTTTTTAATAGATAGAGTGATTCTTAAGGAAGGTTTATATGTGTAATACATGCATATTCCACACGTGCGAAGCCGGGGCGGGTCGCTAGACGTTATGTTAGGTTATGTTCAAAAAGTAAACATGAAAATCCTACCAACGATAATGTAGCTTCACAACAAAATATCAAACCTTTTGTCTGCTTAAGTAAAACGCGATTTATTATAAGTACAGTACACAATCTATTAAGGCAGCATCAGACCAACACCTAAAACAATATAAGCGCACAACAAAAGCCATTGTATCGACGACAACGTTGAAATAAAGACGAATAAATTCCGTCCTGTTCCTACGAAAATTCGTTTTAGGGAGCAAGTAAATTAATTTTATTATCAATTTCGGTCCATTTACTCAGCTTAAGAACATTACTTTGGGCTGTTATGAAAGTCAAATTGATAATCTCTCAACAGTTTGAGTCGCGCGACGTCGCTCAGTTCGTCTGAAAGGGTCGTTACTTTTTATAGAATCACTGATGCGAAAATTTAAAATGAGGATGTGTGGTGTTCATAAACGTTGATGGGGATGGGGATTAATGATCGGTTATCTTTGTGTTGAAGGGGGTAAATGGTGATTAGTATAGGACTGTCATTGTGATATGGTTATTGTTATTGAATGCTGTTGTTTTGCTACGAAGGTTATGGTGGGTCAGTAGATAAATTAAATTTATGTAGATTGATTAATACTAGTTTTCCCCTTTTGTTCTCCTTTTTTCCAATACCTACATGGTTGGTGAAATAACTGGAGAACCACTAAAAAACTAGAGGGCTTACTCTTGAATACAATTCCGATCGATCGACATTGGTATTTGTGAAATTTCGTACACTTGAGTTGCAACACTATCGCCCATTGCGTCCGTCGATATTTGATGAACTAAATGCGTTTGGATTTATATTCTATGGAATAATGTGTGTGTGTGTGTGTGTACGGAATAGTGTACGCACTGAATGCCTACCATAGAGGTTGTATAGTTTTGAAATTGGATAATTAATGAGATTTTATTGTAATGACTGCCTCGTTGGCCGAGTGGTCGCAAGCGCGACTGCCGGGTAAGGGGTCTCGGGTTCGATTTCCGAGTCGGGCAAAGTATTAATGGGTTTTTTAAAAATCTCCGTAGTAGCACGGAGTCTGGAAATGTGCCCGGTATATGGCAATAGGCTCACCCCCTATTACATGGGACTTATATAGTGAAAAGTGGGTGTTACATTGTACAGTGGCATTAAGTGCCGAAATGTGCACCTCTGCCTACTCTTTCGGGGATAAAAAGGCGTGATGTTATTTTATTGTATTGAAATTGCATTGACAGATTGGTTCAAGAGTAAGCACCCTGGGCAACCAGCCGACTGCCGTGCATTGTATCGCGAATTCCATTCCCGCATGAAACAATTCTCTATATGTGATTGTTATTGCCGGAATCTAGGGTGGTATTCTTTAAAATTAAGATTTTTTAAAATACAGGATAAAATGCCTGTATACGTGAAAACATTTAAAAAAATATATTTCATATTTAAAACTTTCTTTATTTATATTAGCAGTATGGTCAAACCTTTTAACAAGGGTCGCACCGGGTATCCGTTATCCGCGCACTTTGTACCCGGATGTCGAAAAAACAATTTTAATGACCTTTTATGACCGGGATTTGTAAAAGTATTAAAAACAAAATGCGGTCGTGTTGCAAATCTGTTGACCGTTTATTGTTTTCGTTTCTTTTTAAAGACTTTTGTATATCGTTCATACATTTTTAACCTACTTCAAAAAAAAGAAGTTCTCACAGTTTGACCTGTATGTATGTATATTTGTGTGCGATTATATTAAGAACGACTGAACCGATTTTAATGCGATTTTCAGAAAAGTGTTTACTACACTTAAGGGAAGATTTAAGTAATAACTGGATAAGCTGGTAAACGAGCAGACTGATCACCTGATGGTAAGCAATCGGCGCCGCCCATGGACACCTGAAACACCAGAGACGTTACAAGTGCGTTACCGGCCTTTTGGGATTAGGAATTTGAGGATTTTTGGTGACTCAAGGATTGGGAATGGAGTGGGGTAATTGGGCCTCCGGTAACCTCACACATGCGATGAAACACAACACAAGCGTTGATTCACGACGGTCGGTGAGTCCGTGGTATCACTCCGGTCGATTAGGCCCATTCGTGCCGAAGCATGGTTCTACCACACTTAACTCGTCGAGTACCGGTTTTGTAGACACAATTATAGAACAATAGGTTGCGGTCACCGGTGACCGCTTGGTGTTTGACAGTTTAATTACAACAATAGTATGTTTTTAGATTTTTAGTTATTTTTACTAATTACAACAATAGTAAAAATAACTAAAAATCTAAAAACATACTTGATACTATCATCATAATATTATTATTATATCTGGCTATCATCAACAGCCTACAGTTCATTACCACTATAGGCTTTCTCTACATAAGAGGCTTTATCATAATCTCGTCCACGCATGCGCATGGCAGTTTGCGTTACACGCGGGCTTCAAAGAGCCATCAGACCACGACATGGGGCCCAATAGGGCTGATGCCCGATACGGAGCCACGGAAGACTTAACAGGTTACCAAGGCTCCAGCTTGAAGAACAGGAGTAAAAACGGAATGGTTTTTAGTCAGTAAGAGTCTGACACCCTCTCTCGCCTCAGCGTAGGCGAAAAAAAACTTTGAATGATTTTCCCCCCTTAAAAATAGGGGTCTTAGAAATGCATTTTCCTCTATCGTCAAAACTATAAACAATACATGTACAATAACACAAAAACTAATAAAACCCATCAATAAACTTTTTAAAAACGAAAAAACTTCAAATAGATAACAAATAAATAGCTACGCAATCGAACTATAAACTACAAGCCGTTGAATACTCCATATAGTGGGTCATAAATGGAATATATCTGGTTTTACTGGGTAATGTGGACTGAATTAACCAATATCACTTCATTAGAGTCGTAAAGTGCGTTCTGATTGGCGAAACCATCAATTGAACTATGCGTTTATGGGTTGTAAAGTTTTGAATGTATTGGTTTTAGTTAAATCTATGAAGATACAGCATTCAGGTGACGATAGGAATAAAGCATTCGTGAGCACTATTTTTTTTCTTTCACATGAGATCACCACACAATAACTTTATTTTCACGAATGGATATTAGACTGCCTCGTTGGCCAGGGGGCTCGGGTTCGATTCCCGGGTCTGGCAAAGTATTACTGGGTTTTTCAAAATATTCTCAGTAGTAGCACG